GAATAAAATAATGATTCAATTTTAAATTTTATTATTTATTTATTTACTTATTTATTTATTTAGTAAACTCTACCCCCAACATAGGGCTCGAACCCATGACCCCAAGATCAAGAGTCACATGCTCTACTGACTGAGCCAGTCAGGTGCCCCACTCTCTCACTCTTTCAAAATTAATTTTTTGGGGCACTCAGGTCATGATCCTGAAGTCACAAGATCGAGTCCCCCATAGGGCTCCCTGCTCAGCAGGGAGTCTGCTTCTCACTCTGACCCTCCCCCGTCTCGTGCTCTCTCTCTCTCATTCCCTCTCAAATAAATAAATAAAATCTTAAAAAAAAATAAATTTTTTTTATCGTGGTAAAAAATGCAAATGCAGTTTACCATCTGAATCTTCTTTCAGTATACAATTCAACAGGGTCAATCATGTTTGTGCCATGATGGAGCAGAATCTCCAGAACTTTTTCATCTTGCAGAACTGAAACTCTGCCCCACTTCAAGAGGAGCTGCCCTTTCCCCCCACACCCCAGCACCTGGCAACCACCATTCCACTTTTTCTTTCTATAAATTTGACTATATTTTTTTCAAGGTTTTATTTTTAAGTATCTGTACATCCAACACGGGGCTCGAACCTACAACCCCAAGATCAAGAGTCACACGCTCCTCGGATGGAGCCAGCCAGGTGCCCCTCTATGAATTTGACTACATTAGATACTTCATATAAGTGGAATCATGAGATTACACTTTTTGTCTGTTTGTGACTCAATTCTCTTTCGATTGTTGTTTTTACGCAGACATGTGTCTCTGTGTGAGGTACTTTTTACCTAGGTGTGCTGTTGGTGAGTTCAGAGGGACAGACGCTGTGGACAGGCACTCTGCTTGGCCAATGCACATTCTTTCACCTGCAAACTTACACATCCTTTTCACTTGTTAAAACAACACTGTGCTGTGTCTTAGCATGTTTGTTTAGCTCTTCACCTCTGGGCATTTTGGACTGTTATCAATTTTTCAGAACCATAAATAGAAGTACCATGTGCATCTTTGTACATTGCTTTTTATTTGGGTAATTTCCTTCCAGTGAATTTGCCCAAAGCAGAATACAAGGTCAAGTTTTGTAGGTCTTACTACAGTCAGACTATGATTCAGACACTGAATCAACTTGTAGTTCCACCAATTAGGTGTAAATGTTTATTTCCCTCCTCACAGCCCCATCAACTTCGAGTTTTGTCAATTTAATGGAATTTTTGTTAAGTTTCTGGAAGACAGAGTATGATCTCTGATTGTGTAGGGGTGTGACTAATTAAAAAATAAAAGCATACCTGGTTTCCTATCATATACATGAACAAAATCTGAAGCTTTTAAGTGGACAACTGTTTCAGATGATCATGGTACGACCATCTTGTAATCCTGGGATGCTCTAGTACTGGGTAAAAAAAAGTGTTCAGGCCAAGGAGCTACTAGCCCACTGAACTCTACAAGGGTCAGATCATACAAGAAAATCCCCTCCTTCTCTATCCTTTCTTCACCACCCCTTGTGGTCCCAAGGCTTAGGTCTTTTGTTTTTTTCCTCAGTGAGTCTAGCCAGTGGTTCTCTTATTAGTTTCACATTAGCCTCATCTGGGGAGCTTTCAAAAAATACTCATTCCTAGGCTCCACAGGGATTGAGATTTATTTGCTTTGGAATGCATCCTGGTCATCTGTATTTTTATAAAAATCTTCCCAAGTGACACTAATGTGCAGTGAGGGTTTCCAGCCAATGCTCACCACAGTTACTGCTTAATAAATGCTGTTGAGTGACTTACTGATTTGAGACAGATCTCTGAAGAGTTGTATTCTTTTTTATTGAGATATAATTCACACAATGTAAAATCCATCCTTTTAGAACGTGAAGTTCCGTGGTTTTTAGCATACTCACCAAGTTATGGAACCATCATCACTATTAAATCTCAGGACGTCTTCATCACCCCCAGATGAAATCCCACTCGCATGAACCATGACTTCTCATTCTGCCCTCACCCCAGCCCCTGACAGCCACTCATCGACTTACTGTCTTTATAGATTTGCCTGTTCTGAACATTTCATATAAACATTTCATATAAACATTTCATATATCATGGCCTTGTGCGTCTGGCTTCTTTCACTTAGCATCATGTTTCCAAGGTTCAGCCATGTTGCAGCGAGTATTAGATCTTCATTTATTTTTATGGCTGAATAATAGTCCATTGGATGGATATACTACTTGGTTTATCCATCCATCAGCTGATGGACATTTGGATGGTTTCCAGTTGCTGGCTATTAATGTTGTTATGAACGTTCATGTGTAAGCTTTTGTATGAACATATGCTTCCAGTTTTCTTGGGTATATATCTAGGAGTAGAATTGCTGGGTCATATGATAACTCTCTGCTTAACCTTTTGAGAAGCTGCTACACTAGTTTTCAGTGTCTGCACCATTTTACAATCCCATGAGTAATGTGTGAAGGTTCCAATTTCTCTACATCCTCACTAACACTTGTTATGATGTTTTTTGGATTATAGCCATCCTAGAGGGTGTGTGAAGTGGTATCTCATGTGGTTTTGATTTTGATTTACATTTTCCTGATGACTAATAATGTTAAGCATCTTTTC